GTGCCTAAAAACTGAGCCCTGCAGAAGCTCACTGGACACAGACTTCCAACTTCAAAAAAGCACCCTTCCACCATTACCTTTTGCTTCCTGTCACTCAGCCAATTCTGGACCTAATTGGCCAAATTTCCTTGGATCCCATGGGCTCCTACCTTTACTCTCAGTCTGTCATGCTGGACCTTATCAAAGTCTCACTAAAGCCTAAGTCAAATGCATTGTCTTCATCTACAGGTTACCTGGTTACCTCATCAAAAAATTCAGTCAGGTTAGTTAGACATGACCTCCTCTTAACAAAACCATGCTGATTGTTCTTGATTAATCCTTGCCTCTCCAAGTGCAGATTAATTTTGTATCCTTAGAGTTGCTTCCAATAATCTCCCCACTGCTGAGGTTAGTCTAACTATCCTGTAGTTTCCCGGTTTATGCTTTGTTCCCTGTTTGGATATGAGTACCATGTTGATTGTCCTCCAGTCCACTGACATATCCCTAATGGACAGAGAGGAAATGAAAATTATTGCCAGGATTCCTGCTACGTCCTCTCTACCTCACTCAAGAGTCTGGGGTACTTTTCATCCATCACGGAGATTTATATACTTTTAAGCCTGCCAGATTACTCAGAACCTGCTCTCTGTCTGCGGTAATTTCTTTAAGTATATCACAATTCTGCTCCCTGATTTCCAGACCCACATCATCTCAGTCGCTAGTGAACACCAACACAAAGTATTCATTTAGAACTCTATCAGTGTCCTTCAGTTCCATGTACAATTTACCAGTGTGGTCCTCAATGGGCTCTACTCTTTCATTAGTTATCCTTTTATCCTTAATAGTCTTGTAAAATAATTTTGAATTTTGTTTTACTTTACCTCATGAATCAGTTTGGTAAACCTCCACTGCACTCCCAATATGGCAAGTAAATATTTTCTTTGGTAAGGAGTTAAAAACTGTGTAGAGAATCCCCAATTTACGGATGTCTAGCTTATGAACATTTGTAATTATGAACGTGATCCCATATATAGTTTAAAATTTAAAGACTTGAAATATTCCTGTACTTAAGAATGGCTGCTTTCCTTGTCCTGCATTGCACTCTGACTTGCGAACAGACTCCAGAATGGAACTGTTCCATGCACTGGCTGTATGCAATACCTGAGGCGTGGTTTTACCAAGGCCATGTACATCGGCAGCTAGAATTCCTTGCTCCTATACTCAAATCCCATTGCAATGAATTCCAACAAACCATCTGCCTTCCTAACTGCTTGCTGTGCTGCACACTTCCTTTCGATGAATGATGCACAAGGACACCAAAGTTCCTTTGTACTTCAATACTTTCTAACCTATCACCATTTAAATAATGCCTGCCATTCTGTTTTTCATGCTAAAGTGGACAACTTCACACATTATACTGCATCTGCCACTCATTTGCTCCATCACTCAACTTGTCTAAATCCCTGAAGCCTATTTATATCTTCCTTACCACTCACAATCCTGTCTGGTTTTGTGTCATTGGTAAACTTGATAATGTTACTTTTGATTGCATTATCCAAATTGTTAATATACATATATTGAGAATAGTTGGGTCCAAGCACTAATCTCCATGGTACCCCACTCACCATCTCCTTCCACTCTGAAGATGACTCGTTTATTCCCAATCTGCTGACCAAATCTAAATCCATACCGATGTATTACCCTGAATCCTATGTGCTGTGATTTTGCAAAGCACTCTGAAAATCTATATAACACTACATCCACTGATACTCCCTCATCTATCCAACTAGCCAACAAACTCGATTGGTTTGTCAAACATGATTTCACTCTCATAAATCAATGTTGACTTTATGCAATACTTCTGGTACTTTCTAAGTGCCCAGTTACTTCATCCTATATAATAGACACAGGCATTTTCCATATTTACCAATATTAGGTTAACTGGACTGTAATTCTTATGGATTTGCATTTGCCAAGCTCCAAACTGTTGGAATGTTCCAGCATTTACAGAATTTTGGGAGACAAAACCAACACATACAATATTTTCATGGTTATCTCCTTCATGTAATGTAAATAAGGCGTTTGGTATTTATCAGCTCTCAGTCCCATTAATGTCGCCAGTACGAGTTTTTAACTGATACAGAAACTTTGCTGAGAAATGGACAAGACTGGCAGCTCAATGTTCTGGGTTTTGAATGCAATAGGAAGGCTAGAAAATGAAGCAAGAAAGGAGGGAGGATGGCATTTTTGATTAAGGAATACATTACTGCTATAACTAGGGAAGATATTTCTGAAAAATCGCCCAGTGAAAATATATGGGTAAAAATTACAAATAAAAAAAGAATGATCACTTTTGTGGGATTGTAGTGTAGACCCCCAATAGTAAGAGGGAAATTGAGAAACAAATATGTAGGGAGATCTCAGATATATGTAAGTATAATAAGGTTGTAATAGTGGAGTATTTTAATTTTCCAAACATTAACTGGGGCAACCATTGTGTTAAAAGTTTGGATGGTGAAGAATTTGTCGAATGCATTCAAGAAAATTTTCTTTATCAATATGTGGATGCTCTTATTATAGAAGGAGTAAACTACACCTTCTTTTGGGCAATAAAGCAGGCAAATAACTGAACACCTTGAGTCTAGCGATCATAATTCTATTAATTTCAAAATGGTTATGGAAAAGGGTAGGCCTTCCATAAAAGTTAAAGTTTTAATTGGAGTAAGGCAAACATTAATGGTATGAGACAAGAACTTTCTAAAGTTGATTGGAGTAGACTGTTCGCAGGTAAGAGGATGTCTGACAAGTGGGAGGCGTTCAAGAGTGTGATGATGATATTTCAGAGGTATTATGTTCCTATTAGAGTGAAGGGTAAAGCTGGTAAGATTAGAGAACAATGGATGAATAAAGATGTTGAGGTTCAGGTCAAGAATAAACGAGAACCTTATTTTAGACATAAACAATTTGGTTCAATTGAATCTCTTAATCAGTATAAAGAGTGTAGGGGTGTTCTTAAGAAGAAAAAAATCAAAATGGCAAAGAGGGGATATAAGATAGCTTTTGGTAGATAAGGTTAAAGATAATATAAAGAGATTCTACAAATACATTCAGTGCAAGAGGGTAACTAGAGAGAGGATATGGTCTCTTAAAGATCAAAGAGGTTGTCTTTGTGTTGAACCCCAGGAGATGGGAGAGATGCTAAATGAATATTTCACATCAGATTTTACTGTAGTGAAAGAAATGGAGTCTACAGAAGGCAGAGAAACAAACTTTGATTTTTTAAAGACAGTTAACATTAGGAAGTGGGAGGTCTTACAAAATATAATGGCGGGTAAACTCCAGGACATGATCGATCTAATATATCCCAGAACATTGTGGAGAGTATGGGAGGAAATTATGAGACTCCTTGCAGAAATATTTGCATCATCTTTAACTATGGGTGAAGATAGCTAATGTTGTACCTTTGTCTAAGAAAGGTTGTAAGGAGAAACCGAGGAACTCTAGATCTGTGTGTCTGACTTCAGTTGTGGGTAAATTGTTGAAGGTGATTTATAAAAGATAGGATTCATGGACATTTAGAGAGATAAAAATTGATTAGGGATCATCAGCATGGTTTTGTGCAAGGAAAATTGTGTCTCACAAACTTAATTGAGTTTTTTGGGGAAGTTACCAAAAAGGTTGATGATGGCAGTGCAGTAGATGTTTTTTTGGATTTTAGTAAAGCCTTTGACAAGGTTTCACATGGTAGACTAATTAGTAAGTTAGGTCATTTGGGATTCAGGGTGAGCTTGCCAATTGGATACATAATTGGCTCAATGAGAGGAGACAGAGAGAAAGAGTGGAGGGTTGTTTTTTGGACTGAAAGCCTGTGACCAGTGGTGTTCCATAGGGATCAGTTCTGGGTCCTCTTTTGTTTGTCACTTATATAAATGATTTGGATGAGAGTATAGAAGGCATGGTTAGTAAGTTTGCAGACAACACCAAAATTAGTGGCACAGCAGACAGTGAAAAAGGTTTTCTAACGTTACAAAGGGACCTTGATCAAATGGGTCAATGGGCTGAAAAATGGCAGATGAAGTTCAGTCTGGAAAAATGAAAGTTGTCGCATTTTGGTGCAACAGACAATAGTTGGGCTTCTTATAATTAATGGTAAGGCCTTGGGTAGTGTTGGAGAACAAGTGCAAGTACATAATTCTTTGAATTTGCGTCACATATGGTTAAAAAGGTGTTTGGCATGGTTCAATTCAGGAGTCCGGATAAAGGGTCCAGGCCCAAAATGTCGATTCTCCTGCTCCTCTGATGCTGCCTGGCCTGCTGTGTTCCTCCAGCTCCACACTGTATTGACTCTGAATCCAGCATCTACAGTTCTTGTTATCTACGTTTGGCATGCCTGCCTTCATTGCTCAGTCCTTCGAGTATAGCAGTTGGAAAGTCATGTTGAGGTTGTATAGGACATTGGCGAGGCTTCTTCTGGAATACTGTGTCCGGTTCTGGTCGCCCAGTTATAGGAAAAATGTTATCAAGCTGGAGAGGGTTCAGAAGAGATTTACCAGAATCTTGCCAGATATGGAAGGTTTGAATTAGAAAGAAAGGCTGGATAGGTTGGGACTTTATTTACCTGAGTGTAGGAGGTTGGGAGGGGATCTGACAGAAGTTTATAAAATAATGAGAGGTATAGATAGAGTTAATGGTAGTTGTCTTTTCACTAGGATGGGCGATTTCAAGTCTAGTGTGCACATTTAAAAAAGACGAGGCAATTTTTTTACACACAGGGTGATTCGCATGTGGAATGAACTTACTGAGGAAGTGGTGGATGTGAGTACAATTGCAGCATTTAAGAGACATTTGGATAGACACATGTATAGGAAAGATTTGGAGGGATATGGGCCAGGAGCAGGCAGCTGGGGTTGGTTTAGTTTGGGATTATGTTCGGCATGGACCAGTTGGACTGAAAGTCTGTTTCCGTGCTGTAAGACACTATGAATCTATGACTAATGTCTTTCAATTCCTCTCTTTTCCAGTTTATATTCCAAATCCAGCCTCTGGACATTCCATTTTGACTCCTACTGCCTCTCCAGACCTGAAGCACAATTTTCTGTGGCTGCACCTGAAGACATTTCCTGACATCTGGTCACCCTGGACACTGAAAATGTCCCGAACTTTCCACATCCCACAGGAAGAGCATTCCACATGGCTGAGCGGCCATGCCATGATATACCCTTAAATTATTCAAACCCAGGTCCCTGGGTGGCAAAGTAGTTAGCACTGCTGCCCCACAGGGCCAGGTTCAAATCCAGCCTCAGGTGACTGTCTGCATTGCGTTTGCATGTTCTCCCAATGCCTGTGTGGATTTTCCTCCCACAGTCCAATGATGTATAGGTTAGGTGGATTGGCCATGATAAATTTCCTTGTAGTGTTCAAAGATATGCGCAGTTACTAAAAAGGGGACGTGGGGGAGTGGGGGCCAGGTATGGGTGGGATGCTTTTCAGAGAGTTGGTGCTGGTCTGAATGGCCTTTTTTTGAACTATAATACTATGACACTCTCTTTCTCTAGTTGAAAGAATATGAAATATGTACCAGGGATTTCACCTTATCCCTTGTACTTTAAATGCTGTTCATCTAATCTAAGGATCAGTTTTTGCATTAAAGCTTGGACAGTAGAAATACTCACCTGGCCTTGCTTACCAAGATAGTGGCACATCCGGTTTTGGCTCCCTGTCCCAACAGAGCTTACAGTTTTCCCTGTAATGTCATTTATGAATATTGCCAAAACTCACCACTCATAGCTTTTGAAATCCTGGTCTTCTCGATGTTGAACATCAGGAAATAAAAAGTAAAAGAGCACTTCCATCCACTTATCAGCAAATGCTCTTTTCACTGCAACAGGTATTATTTTTAGTGATGTTGACTGAGGATAAATATTGACCATGTCAATGGGGTAAACAGTTGTGGTCTGCTCCAACAGTGTATTGACAGATCTTTAATGTTCACTCTGAGAGATCAGATCTCATTCAAACAATAATGTTATCAATCTCATTAAACAGAGGCAAGAGCTTCCTTCTTTTGTGTAATCAGGTCAGCTAGAATTAACTATCACATCTGGTAAGAGATAATTATTGTGTCTTTTCTGACCTTGGGAGCTTTGAGAGAATCTCTGGACCACCTATACAAAAGTCTCTGCTGAAATCAGGAACAAATAGTATCTGGTTGGATCTCAGAACTTATCTCTCTGCCAGCTGGTTTTTGCCATTCATATAAAACTAGAAATTTCCCTTTGCTTATGCGTCAGACTCCAAGAGAACACAGATACAAACCTCACTGAAGATCAAACTATTTCCACTTACTATTTTCAAGTTGTGCACTCTCAGTTAATATCATCAGAATAGCTTAGAATAATTAGGTGGTTGTTTTTGATCAGCACAGATTTGATGGGCAGAAGGGCCTTTCTCTCTGCAGTAGACCTCTATGGCTTCCAGATAGGAAAATCCATAACTGTTTGAAAGCTACAGTTGAATTGAGAAGCGAAGGAGATACATTGCCTACAGTTTCTCAGCGTGGAATCAATACAGGCAAGATAAGAGCTTAAGAGCTTTTACTTTAAATAATGATGTATAATATTTCTACAGAGAGACCATTTAGATTAAATCGAACTTCTCCTTTTGAGACATAGTATGCTGGTTCTGGCCCCAAAAGAATTGTAGGTAGTCTTTGGTTTCATGGTACATCAATGTATAATATATTGTAAAACTATGGATTACAGTGCAGACTTTGTCCATCATGCCTTATCAGCAATAATACTTGACACAAACAATCTTGTAGAATTACAATGTTAAAGCTCGATTTCTCGATTTGCAACACAATAAGTTTATTAAAACAGCAAATAAAAATGACTCATGCTGTGACCCTCAGCTTATAGTTAGTAGAAATTCTGCTGCCAAAGGGAGAATTAGAGGTTAGCTAAACTGAAATGGACTTTAATACTTATATTGACATATTCAGTAAAGGTCAGAAAATGTTAACTTTTGATTTACTTGTATGTCATGCCCCTATTACAAATATAGACAGCATTGACAGCACTTTTACAGAGGCATATGAGAGCATGGTTCTCATCCTGAACATCTGCAAGATGAAGGTCCTCCACCAACCTGGCCTGGCATTTGGAGCGAACCCCCTGATCATCAAGGTCCAGGGGGAGGCCTTAGAGAACATAGACCACTTCCAACACCTCGGCAGTGTCCTGTCGGCCAAAGCAGCTATTGATGAGGAGATCCAGCACATCCAGTGTGCTAGTGCAGCCTTTGGCCACCTGAGGAAAACGGTGTTTGAAGACAACAGCATCAGATCCAACACCAAGCTCATGGTGTACAGAGGTGTGGTGGATCCTGCCCTCCTATATGGCTCTGAGATGCAGACTGTCTATGGCAGATAGCCCAAGGCACTAGAGAAATACCACCAACGCTGCATGTGCAAGATCCTGCAAATTTGCTGGGAAGAAAGACGCACCAGCACGAAGGTCCTCAATGAGGTATGGACCACCCTTGATTGGTTGCAATGTGCTGGGCATTTAGTCTGTATAACCGACAAAACACTCCCCAGGCAGGTGCTCTACTCCCAGCCCTGAAATGGCAGGCAATCCCCAGATGGACAGAGGAAGCGCTTCAGGGACACCCTCCAGGCCCTGCTGACGAAGTGTGACATTCCCACAGACACCTGGGAATCACTGGCCAAAGACTGGCCAAAGTGAAGGAGGAACATCCAGGAAGCTGACGAGCATCTCGAGACTTGCAGTTGGAAAAAGTGGAAGCCAAGTGAAAACAGTGAAAGGAATGTGCTGCCACACCAATGTCCCATCCACCCTTTCCTGTGACCGCCTTCTGCCTGAAGTGTAACACAGCCTGTGGTAGCCACATTGGTCTGTACAGCCACCTACGCACTCATCCTGAGAGAGGAAGAGAGTCATCCTTGACTGCGAAGGACTGCCAATGTTAATGATGATGAAGATAGCTTGAATAGTATCACACTGAGACAGTAAGAAAGTGTTAATATTAGAGTTATTAGACAGTAGCATCATTGCAAGCGAACATATGGTTTTGGTGGGGTTGGGGGTCGATTAGTTAGCTCAGTTGCCTGGATGGCTGATTTATGATGCAGTGTGATGTACACAACGTGGATTCAATTCCTGCACCAGCTGAGATTACAATGAAGGATTCTCCTTCTCAACCTTTCCTCTAAGCTGAGGTGTGGTGACCCTCATGTTAAACCATTACCAGTCCTCTCTCTCTCTAGTTGGAAAACAGCCCTATGGTCTGGTAAGGCTTTGGTGACTTAAGAGATTCAGTTGAGATTAATTAACCTGTTGGGGTTGCTGCTTTTTGGATATGAAACAGCAAACCATGATTTTATGGAAACTAAAGCTGATGAAAACAATTCCATGGAATGTTCCTTTGCTGTCTTAGACATTTCTCCCTCAAACAAAATCACTAACTTATTAATCAGTTAGGAATGAAGACAGCTCTTCAAAGCATTGAAGAAAAGAGCTGCAGGTGGGAAAACTTACACCAATCATTGTCTTAAAATTATAGATGATACAAAACTTGTAAATGTAGTAAATAGTGAGAAGGGAATGTAGGTTAGCAGAACAATAGACATATAGCAGATTGAAATTTACTGCAGAAGATGAGAGATGATGCATTTTGTTAGTCAGAAAGGGTATTATTGCAAATACATATTTGTGTACAAGGACTGTTAAAGAAAGTGGGGACATTCTTTATTTCATTCAAAAAAAAACAAAAATGACATGGCAGAAGGAAAACTGGTCACTGCTTATGCAAGGTTGATTGACAGGTAGAGCTATACCTTGCTTTCAAAGGACATGTTTATAGATTGTGATGCACTTAAACAAAAAAACTATTCTGGTATGTATGCAGTTGTTCCTGAGGCACACAAGTAAAGATTGTGAGATGTGAGGAAGTAAGCTGGAAGGACCTACGTTGAATTTGAAGGCATTTGGCACACTTGCTTTCTGCGTCAGAACATTGAGTACAGGAGTTGGAACGTTACGTTGTGGCTGTACAGGTGAGACCACTTTTTGAAAACTAAGTTCTGAAGAAGGGTTACTGGACCCAAAACATTAACTTTGATTTCTCTCCACAGATGCTGCTAATGTCTTTAGCGAAGGAGACTGCCGTCCTTAACTGGTCTGGCCTACATGTGACTCCAGACCCACAGCAATGTGGTTGACTCTTAACTGCCCTCTAGGCAATTAGGGATGGGCAATAAATGCTGCCTAGCCAGCGACACCCTCACTCCATGAATGAATAAAGGACCTGCTGAGATTTTCCATCAATTTCTGTTTTTGTTTGTAATTAAAGCATATTGTCATGAATATCCTCATAACTGGGGCAAACGTGTGAATTTAACATTGGTTGCTATCAGAAGCTTGTCAAATGAACCTATAACGTAGGGTCCACTCAACTTAAGTTATGGTCATGAGATAAGAGATCCACTAAATTTGATCAAGGAAATTTTTTAGAATCGAAGGATATATTCTTTATGTTAGATATGTTCTTGTGTTCCGAGAGACTTACGAGAGTGTACAAAGTAGTTCAGGAGCATTTAAAATCTTCACGGGCAAAGAAGATAGAATAGGCAGACAATCGTGCTGAAACAAGAAGGTTTGAAACTGAAGATGAAACGTCAGTATAGTTACCTTTACAGGGGGAACCTGTGAAGCTAAGATTTAGTGGTACATACAAGCTTAAGTAAGTAGGCCCATAAAATGAATTATCTGGTAGACACCCCCAATTAAAGGGAGAAAAACTAGTTGTGTTATATTAGCATGTTGAATGGTACATTGGAGAAAGGAAGATAAGAAGGAGCAAGGAAGGCAGCTTGTAATAGTGAATAATGACAAAGACAGTGAGAGTGAGGCAGAAGGAAATATAGACAATTCACAAATTGAACCTTCTGACCTCCTTTAGCCAAGACTGAAATTATAGCATAGTTGGATATCATTTTCTCACATTAGAGGAAGTTCCATACAAGGATCTAATGAAGTTACCTCTGGAGTAAAAGGAAATCTGTCAATATAAACCAGGGTGTACAACTTTAGCCAGACATGGTGTGGATGTGGGAGAGCATGCATCAATAAAACAACATCCTTCTTGTTTAAGTCCAGAAAAATAAGCGCAGATGAAAACACATTCAATATGTCAGAAAATCACCTGATTGAGCCCAGTCAAAGCAATTAGAGCTCTGCTGTAGCATTCGTTCCTAAACTGACGGGTTAACTAGATTCTGCACAAATTAAAGTAAATACAGCAGCAAAAGATTCATACACATTTCCTTGATTTGAAGGTTGTATTCATTGTCAGTGCCTCATTCTTTGCTAAAACTGATTTATTGAAGGGATACTGGAAAATGAAGTTGAAATTGAGAACTAAGGAGATAGCTGCTCTTTTTATATCACATGGGTTAAATCATTGGTGAATCACGCTTTTCAGGTTAAAAGAATGTTCCAGATACTTTCAAAACATTATGACCAATTCACATCTAGTGTTGTTAATTACATTGGTTTACTTCTGTAATATATTTTTATAAACCAGCACCTGGGAAGAACATGCAATGCAATTGGCAGTTTGATTTAAACAGTTACTGGTTATTGACCAGTGGTAGTGGTAAGAGCGAGTTCAAAAAGACAATGACAACTTATCAAGGACATGTAGTAGAACAAGGGCAAATGTTGCTGAGAAGGCTGAAGATAAAGGCTTT